CCCCCCAAAAAAAAATAAATAAAAAATCAAGTCAATTTTTAAAACTTGTCAGAGTAGAACTCTTTTCTCTCTGGTCTCTCAGATTCCCCAGCACGAGGAAGACTTTGTGGGCACAGGAGTGCAATTCTGGCTGCCTTTTGACCCCTGACTCTGGGTCCCCAAAGAATCTCAGCCTGCCCCAAATGCCTCTAGCCCCTGCCCTGCTGAACTCTCTAAGCAGCTAAATGTGTATGATCACTTTCTGGGTACGGTCCCCGGGCACAGATGAAGATCACAGAAAAGACCCACTCCAGGACTGAGGTATGGGGGCCAACGAGGTAGGCCTGCAAATCCAGACTGACCCCATACAGGGGTCGCCTTTTCCTTATACAAGGTGGGGACCAAGAGCCATCTTCTCCAAGCAACAGGTCCTTCCTTCCAGATAGCCTTTGCCTCTGCTTAGACCTTTAAAACCACCCTGGCTCACGCCAGGCCCATGCCTGTGATCCTTGCTATTCAGGAGGCTGAGATCTAAGGATTGAGGTTGGAAGCCGGCCCAGTGGGGAAAGTCTGTGAGATTCTTATCTCCAATGAACCCCCCAAAAAGCTGGAAGTAGCCAGATGCTGTTGGCTCACACCAGTAATCCTAGCTACTCAGGAGGCTGAGCTCTAAGGATTGTGGTCCAAAGCCAGCCAGGGCAGGAAATGAAGCTGAAGCTCAAAGTGGTAAAGCATTAACCTTGAGCACAAAAGCTCAGGGACAGCACCTACATACTGAATTCAAGCCCCAGGACCACAGGGGAAAAAAATCTGGAAGTAGAACTGTGTGGCTCAAGAGGTAGAGCACCAGCCTTGTACAGCAGGGGTAGCAGGGGTGAGATGCAACCACATCAACCCAAAGGAAAAACAATTCCTGCCCACCCTTCAGTCTCGGGATCCTCTCCTGGAAGTTCAGTCCTGTACCCTCAAAAGGTCCAGCCTGGGGGCCTCTCCACATGCAGGGCTGTGGGCTAGGAGCTCCCCAAGTTTGTGCTTCTGCTGCAAGCACCCAGAGGACCTCCGCTTGGGGGGCAGGGGCTGCAGGCTGTACCTTTTCCCACCGCCCCACCTGCCCAGCTACTCACCGCTGCTGCACCGCTGCTGGTCACCTGCCAGGCTCCCACCGTAGCTGCGCAAACTCTGGCCCAGTCGGCGCCTTACTTGGGGTGTTTATTATTAGCCTGAGATTTGATTAGTTCCCCGGGCCAAGCTTCCTGGGTTTCCCCCCTCAACCTGGAGATGCAAATCAGTTGCCCTGTGCCTGCGCAAGGCACCCCGGGAAGCCAAGGTGGGCACACTCGGTGAAGCTCTTGGGTTCTATTGTGGGCTGTCTACTGGTGGCCCAGGGCAGTGGGGACCTGGCCTGACCAATGGCTGAGACCTTCACCCAGACATGACTTCTGTATTCCCAGCCTTTATCTGGCCTCCTTGAGGGGGCCCTGGCCTCTAAGCAGGCTCTGGTCCATTGCTTCTCCTGGACAGATTTATCTTCTTCCATTGCATGGCTTGGATGGAGTGTCACCTCCTCCAGGAAGCCCTCCCTGATTGGTCCTCAGTCCACTAGATGTAAAATGAGTGACCTTTCAACCCTAATTATCCTGTGTGGTAACTTTATGTCTCCTCAGGTCTCTCCCAGGTTGAGGAAGCCCCAATACTAGGCTCGTTGCAGCACTGTGCATGGCAGCCTTCATACAGAATCTACTTCTGTGCCTGTCCCTGGATGAAGGGATGCAAAAATGTGTCATGTGCATGCAGTGGAATGCCATTCACCCTTAGAAAAGAAAAGAAAGAAATCCTGTCATTAGCACCAACATGGATGAATTAGAGCACATTAAGTAGGAGAAACCCCATGTTCTCACTCTCTGTGGAAGCTGAGAAGGTTGATCATGCCCAGGGTGAGAGAACAGTGGTCATCAGAGGCTGGGGGGAGTGGGGAGGGAGAAGAAGGGGGGACGATGGAGAGGAGATGGTCAGCAGGCACCCGGTTACAGTTACACAGGGGGAATAAGTCCTGGCCTTCCGTTGTATAATAGTGTGACTAATTAATGATGATGTGTGTAGCTGGTAATGTGGCTCAGTGGTAGAGTGCTTGCCTAGCATGCATGAAGCACTGGGTTCCATTCCTCAGTCCCACATAAACAGAAAAAGCTGGAAGTGGCACTGTGGCTCAAGTGGTAGAGTGCTAGCCTTGAGCCAAAGAAGCTCAGGGACAGTGCTCAGGCCCTGAGTTCAAGCCCCAGGACTGGCAAAAAAAAAATGTGTAAGGTATGGTACTTGTCTGGCATGTTCAAGGCCCTGGGGTTGATCTTGATACTACAAAAAAGGTGGGGGGGGGGGAGAAAGAAAAGAAAATGACAAGAGTTTTTAAGTGCATTCACAGGCCTAAGATCCTAGCTACTTGGGAGGCTGAGATTGAGAGGATCAAGGTTTGAGGCCAGTCTGGAGAAGACAAGTTCAAGGAACTGCCTTTTTAAACATAGTGGAACCCAGTGGCTCATGCCTGTTATCCTAGCTACAAGTGGAAGACTAAAATAAGTGGATCACAGAACAGGTGTGAATACAGACAAGGAGAGAGAGATCCTATTTCCAAAATAACCAGTAAGTATGTACACATACAAATAGAAAGGTCTGGGATAGCTGGCGCTGGTGGCTCATGCCTATAATCCTAGCTACTCAGGAGGCTGAGATAGGAGGATCACTGTTTAAAGCTAGCCTGGGCAGAAAAGTCTATGAGACTCTCTTATCTCAAAAAAATTACCAAAGATGGAAGTAGAGCTGTGGCTCAAGTGGAAGAACACTAGCCTTGAGCATGAAAGCTCAGGGACAGAGCCCAGGCCCTGAGATCAAGTCTCAGGACTGGCATGTGTGCATGCACACGCACACACACACACACAAGTCTGGAGGTATGGCTCAGTGGTAGGAGTACCTACTTTGCAAGTATAAGGAGCTACTCACACTCACAGACCCAGGGGAAACAAATACAAATTGAACAGATTTAATCCAGTAAACGTTGACTCATCAAGTTGGCAGAGTTTAGAGTTTGATCCTACCAAACACTAGGGTGATCTGCAGACACATGAACTTAGTGGAGAGGGTGGGTGACACCATTTGGGGAACAACATGGCAGAGCTAATTAACATGTACAGCCTGATGGCCACTACTGCAACCCAAGAGTTGTTTGGCATCACTGAGAGTAGGAGCTACGGAATAATTTACATGTCTACACCGGAAATAAATAGTGCCAGAGTTGTGGTACAGAAATGGACAGCTGTGAGCTAATGGGGAGCCGACGGAGAGAGGCTGTTGATAGCATGATGCTTACAATTTAACACATGCACAGGTGCGTGCGTGCACACAGACACACAGACACACACACCATACCGAGTTGCAAAATAGTGCTGATGACGGTGGCTGTCTCCAGATGGTGCCAGAAGTGACCCAGGACTCACAATGGGGTGCAGACAGACCTCCCTCCCACCTGAGAGATGTTTTCTTCTTGTGGCAAAGAAAAGCATCCAAACTGCGGCTTGGCCAGGCACCCAGTGGCCCATGCCTCTAATCCTTGCTATTCAGGAGACTGAACTCTGAGGGGGCCAGGCTGAAGCCAGCCTGGGCAGACAAATCCAAGAGACTCTTACTTCCAATTAACCAGTAAAAAAAAAAAAAAGCTGGAAATAGAGCTGTGGCTCAAGTGATAGAGCGCCAGCTTTCAGCAAAAAAAAAACAAGAAGAGTTCTAGGCCCTGAGTTCAAGTCTCAGTACTGTAACCAGAAAAGAAAAGAAAAGAAACAAATAACAAACCCCCCTGTAGCTGGGCAGCCAGGGCGGAGAAGGCCCATACGCCCTGTTGTCAAGAACTTCCTGTCTTTCCTAACAGGACAAGCCCAGGGCCGCAGCCATACGCCTTGTGTGTGGCACTGCCCTCTATTTGCATGCCCTAGGGATGGGGCTTCACTCCCTCAAAAGGGGCTGCTGGCTCCCCAGGGAAGCTCAGAAAGCATCTCCTCCACAAGGGGAGCTTGCCTTGGCCAGCAGGACATCCAGCCTGCCTAGGGGGCAGCTGGGACACAAGGAGACAGTGCCTTTGGTCTCCCTGCTGAGCACACTTCCTTACAGCTTCAGTGCCCTGGGCTGTGTCAGAGCAGTTCTGGGGGCTTCCACACCTCATTCTGAAAGCCACCCGTCCTGATGAAGCTGAGGGGCACCGGATCACCTGGCCCAGCTCTGCAGTCAACGTGACAGTGAGTTCCGGGACCCTGAACAAAGACACTGCAGTGCCTCAAGGGGTGAGGATAGGGGTGAGGATGGGATGGTTTCCATGTGTGACTAGATAGTGACAAAGCCACACCGGGCGGGGGCGGGGGGGGCGGCGACCTCACTGGGAATTCCTCCAGCAGCTTTTTTATTTTTTTGGTCCTGGGGCCTGAACTCTGGGTCTGGGCGCTGTCCCTCAGCTCTTCAGCTCAAGGCTAGTGCTCTACCACTTGAGCCACAGTGCCACTTCCGGCACTTGCATGCAAGGCAAGCGCTGTACCACTGAGCCACCTGCCCAGCCCCACATCTTTCTTTCTTTCTTTTATTTTTTATCTGGGTACTGGGGTTGAACTCCAGGCCTGGGCACTATCCCTGAGCTTTCTTACTCAAGGCTGGCATTCTACCACTTGAGTGACAGCTCCACTTCTGGCTATTTGGTGGTTAATTGGAGATAAGAGTCTCATGGACTTTCTTGCCCAAGCTGGCTTTGAACCATAAGCCTCACATCTGAGCTTCCTGAGAAGCTAGGATTATAGGTACCCAGAGAGGCATTTTATTATTAGTAGTATCATCATCATCATCATCATCATCATTTGCTGGTCCTGCGGCTTGAACTCAAGTCTTGGGCACTGTCCCTGAACCTCTCTGCTCAAGGCTAGTGCTCTACCACTTGAGCCACAGCTCTACTTCTGGCTTTTTCTGAGTAATTTATTAGGGATTAGAGACTCACAGACTTTTCTGCCTGGGCTGGCTTTGAACCATGATCCTTAGATCTCAGCCATACCTGAGGATTACAGGTGTGAGCCACCAGTGCCTGGTGAGGCCTAATTATCTTTAGAAAGCTCTTAATGTATTCCTTAGGGGAAGCTGGTGCCCGTGGCTCACACCTGTAATCCTAGCTACTCAGGAGGCTGAGATCTGAGGATCAAGGTTCAAAGCCAGCCTGGGCAAGGAAAGTTTGTGAGACTCTTATCTCCAATTAATTACCAGAAAACCAGAAGTGGCACTGTTGCTCAAGTGGTAGAGTACTAACCTTGAGCTAAAGAGCTGAGGGACAGTGCCCAGGCCCAGAGTTCAAGCCCAACGACCAACAAACAACAACAACAAAAACATATTTCTTTTTTTTCTTTTTTCCTTTTTCTTCTTTTGGGTCCTGTCATGGGCCTGAACTCTGGGCCTGGGCACTGTCCCTCAGCAATTCAGCTCAAGGCTAGCGCTCTACCACTTGAGCCACAGCACCACTTCCGGCTTTTTTCTTTTTGCTTATGTGGTGCTGAGGAATCGAACCCAGGGCCTCAGGCATGCAAGGCAAGCACTCTACCACTGAGCCACCTTCCCAGCCCCCAAGAACATATTTCTTAGGGGGAAAAATTCACATCAGGGAGACTTGATGGGCACCTACTGCATTCTAAACACTGGTCTCACTGCTTTACATCCTGGGATTTAGTACCTACTCTATTTTCTTCATATTCACTGATGCGCTGTAGTTGCCAAAGTGGACTTTTGGAGGGTACACAGTGACAGGATCCCACAAGCACCAGCTCCATCCCATGTTCCCACAGACACAGCGGGTTTTGACTCAGGTTCACATGTATCCACCACCCCTCCTTGCTGTCCCTTGACTGATGCCACATCAGTAAATCTCTGGGTCACTTGGAGTTCAGAACTTGGAGTTCTGATGAAAAATCAAGAATGTCCCAAAAAGGACATTTCTTAGAAATGCAGAGAAAGCCCTAGCTTTCATGATTACATTTACATAAGGCTCAGGGGACAGAATTTCCTGTGTGCTATGTGAGCTGTTCCTTCCTTTCACACTAATTGCTCAGGAGTGTGAGGTATCTAATTTGGCAAAACCCAATTTGAAGAAGTGGACAATTCTTTCCTTTCTTTCTTTCGTTCCTGCTTTTCTTCTTTCCTTCCTTCCTTCCTTCCTTTCTTTCTTTCTTTCTTTTTTCCTTCTTTCTTTCTTTTTTCCTTCTTTCTTTCTTTCCTTCCTTCCTTCCTTCTTTCTTTCTTTCTTATACTGGAGTTTAAAATCAGAGTTTGGGGCCAGCCTGGACCACCATCCTCCTATTACACTGATGTATACCACCACACTCAACTTTTATTTGTTGAGGGTCTCACAAACTTTTTACTCAGGTTGGCATCAAACCAAGATCCTCCTGATGCTTAACCCCCACTCCAATGACTAGAATTTCAAGCATGAGCCATTCACACAGTAATAGGTTTGGGGGGAGGGTTACTTTTATTTATTTATTTATTTATTGGGTCCGGTCGTGGGTCCTGAACCTCTGGGCCTGGGCACTGTCCCTCACCTCTTCAGCTCAAGGCTAGCGCTCTACCACTTGAGCCACTGTGCCACTTCCGGCTTTTTTTTTCTGCTTATGTGGTGCTGAGGAATGGAACCCAGGGCCTCAGGCATGCAAGGCAAGCACTCTACCACTGAGCCACCTTCCCAGCCCATGGGGTTTATTTTTATTTTTATTTTTTGGTCAGTTGTGGGAAAGCAACACAGGCCATTGTCACCACACCCAGGACAGCCAACAAAAGGTCCACATCTACAGCAAGTGTGCATGGAGACCCTTCCCACTACCTTCCAACAGTCCTTACAGGCTTTTTTCCCCCTGCTTCTTTTGAATCAGGATCCAACCAAGTATCACACATTGCAATTTTGTTCTTCCGATTTTTTTTTGTCTGGAATAGTTCTCTATTTCCCCCCCCCCTCATTTTTTTCTTTTCTTTTGTTTGTGTTATAGTTCAGAACTGGAATGTTCCCCCAAAGGCCCAGATGCTGAAGGCCCGGCCCCATCCTGTGTCACCTTTGAAAGGTGGTGGACTCTTTTGGAGGTGTGACTTAGTGGGAGGAAGTTAGGTCATTGGGGGCGTGTCCTCCTAGGGGATCTGGAATCCCAGCCTCTTCCTGTCTCTGTTTCCTGGCTTCCATAAGGTGCTCAGTTTTGTTCTACCACACTCCCTGCCCTGATGCTCTTTCTCAATACGAGGCCCCAAAGTGAGGGAGACTCTGGGGACCCAAACCTCCAAAACCACTAGCCTTTGTTTATGCTAGACAAGCGTGACCCCATGGAACTACACTCCCAGCCTCACAGTTTGTATATAACTGGTATTCCGTCATGTCCGTATTTATCTTCCTTTCTCACACCCAACACTGTTGCCACCAGCTCGTTTTACTTCCAGCATAGCCAGGTCAATGCTCAGCTTGCCATATTGGATCCAGAGCTTGTCTTTCTCCTCCTGTGAGAGGACATTCAAGGCCGGGCTGTAGTCCTTGCTATGAGGAGCCCTGCCACGGGCCAGTCTGCACCTGCTCTCTGTGCAGGAGAATCTCTAGGGAGACTTTTTCACTGAGGGAGGGGCACCTTTCCAGTCTCCAGAGGTGGCTCAAATAACTACACTCCCTCCAGCAAGGTGCAACTGGTCCCTACATCTTTGTCTACAGGGCCTTCTGAGCCAGGAGACAAAGAAGGGAGTTAAAGGTGTCTGTTCTCTCTGAAGCTCAGAAGGAACTTGGCCTCTCCTAGATTTGCTTATTTTGTTTTTTTTTTTTTTTTAATTCTGTGTGTGTATGTGTGCATCTCATCCTGGGGCTTCAATGCTGGGACTGGCTACTGTCTCTTAGCTTTTTCACTCAAAACTGATTCTCTACCCCTTCAGTTATAGCTCTACTTCCAGCAATTGAAGATAAGACTTGTATTCCCAGTCTGGCTTGGAACTGTATTCCTCAGATTTCAGCCTCCTGAGTAGCGAAGATTACAGGGTGTGTGCCACTGAAGTCCAGGGTCTCCTGGTTTTTAGATTATAGCCAGCATGTATTGTTTGTGGAGAAAGCAGAGCTACAGGACCAAATCCTCTAGACACCTTTAGGTCTTAAGTTAGAAGAGAAAGAACCTCTGTGTGTGTCTCTCTCTTGGTGTCTGTCTGTCTGTCTCCTCTCTCTCTCTAGCTGCAGTTCCCAGATGCTGTTGAGCAAGCTGAGTCAGCATCTCCAGCATCATCCCTACTCCAGAAGGAAAGTGTTTCACAGGTGAGGAGCCCAGACTCCAGGTCCAGTCGATCCATTTTGCAAATGGGAACATGGAGGCCATGGCCCCTTGGCTCTGAGCTGCCCAAGGGCACAGAGAGCTGACTTGTCTTCAGACCAGCAAAGGAGTCAGCATGCTGTTGACATTTCACCCAGGACTTGCCCGATGAATACACAGATGGAGAGAAGGTTGGAAACTTAAAGCAAGCGAGCAAAACCCCCAAGTCTGACTCCTCTGGCCCTGCTGGCTAAGGGGAGCAGTTGAAGAGGGAGGGCCGAAGAAAGGGCTGGCCCCAAGGGAGGCTGTCATGACTCAGCTGAGTGCTCACTGAACACAGAGAAGTGACTCAAAGTGTCCTCAGGGAGAGGCACAAAAAAACCAGAAGAGCCCCAGGGATGGGCTCCATGCCATGCTCTGTGCCACCTGGTCCCTGGCCCTGCTCTCCTTTGCCACTTCTCCATATTTGCACCTGCTTGGTGATAGTCATCCCTGGAATGGGCTCCTGGGCCATCTTTAGGACAGTTTACCACAGGGCCTTTGCGTGGCTCTTCCCTCCAGGACCTCCAAGACCCTGTCCCTTTGCATGACTGAGCTTCAGCTCCAACATCATCATAGAGCTGCCTTCCTGAACACCCTAGCTGGAGTTCCCTCCCAAGCCACCTGCTAGTGCTTCAATGGGGTAATTCCCCTGCATGCTCATTTCAACTGAGGTGGAATCCACAGGGCCTTTGCACATGCTGTTTCATAGGTCTATCTGCCCAGCTAGCTGCTTGAGTAACTCACCAATTCCTACAGATATCACTGCCGATGAGGACAACTCTAGTTATCCATCAGCTTGTGGTCCACCAAGTACATGAGGAAGGACAAAAGGACAGAAGGAAGAAGGAATGGGAAAAAGAGAAAGTACAAAGAAGGAAAGCTGGGTGCCGGTGGTTCACGCCTGTAATCCTAGCTACTCAAGGGGCTGAGTTCTGAGGATCATGGTTTAAAGTCAGCCCAGGCAGGAAAGTCTGTGACTCTTACCTCCAATTACCACCAGAAAACCTGATGTGGTGTTGTGGCTCAAGTGGTAAAGCGCTCACTTCAGCTGAAGAGCTCAGGGACTCAGCCCAGACGCAGAGGTCAAGCTCCATGACCAACAAAAGAGAGTGGTGGGGGCGGGGATGAGCATGGCCATGGCCATTTTTACTCCAGGGAAATCCAGTTACAATTGGACACAAGAGCAAGCCAGCCAGCTGGTGCAGAAAGAAAGATGGCAGAAAGGTCAGGTGCCAGTGGCTCATGTCTGTAATCCTAGCTTCTCAGGAGGCTGAGAGCTGAGGATCTCCATTTGAAGCCAGGAAAGTTTGTGAGACTCTTATCTCCAATTAACCACCAAAAAGACAGAAGTATAGCAGTGAATTAAGAGGTAGAGCACTAGCCTCAAATGAAAAGGCTAAAGAACGGTGCCTAGGCCTGAATTCAGGCCCCAGTATTGGCAAAAAAAAAAAAAAAACACAAAAAACAGCAACATGGGGCTAGGAAGGTGGCTCAGTGGTAGAGCGCTTGCCTTGCATGCATGAGGCCCTGGGTTTGATTCCTCAGCACCACATAAGCAAAAAAGAACAAAGCCAGAAGTGGGGCTGACACTCAAGTGGTAGAGTGCTAGCCTTGAGCCAAAGAGCTGAGGGACAGCGCCCAGGCCCAGAGTTCAGGCCCCAGGACCGGACCTCCCCCCCCCAAAAAAAACAACAACAAAAAAGCAAACCAAAAAAAATCAGCTGGTGGCTCATTACTGTAATCCGACCTACTCAGGAGGAGACTGAGAGCAAATAAACTCAATCACCAAAGAGCCAGAAGTTGAGCTGTGGCTCAAGGGGCAGAGTTCCAACCTTGAACGCAAAAGCTAAATGACAGTTCCATGTGTACCCTCCAACTGGCACATGACTTCTCAGAGCTTCAGTTTCCCCTTCTGCTCAAACCAGGGCTACCCATGCCATCACTTCTTTTAACACAACCTGCCCAGAGTGCAGCTGGGATAGAGTCCATGACAGCTCCTCCCCGCACCCTGCCCAGGGGCCTCCAGGGCCGGTTTCACTCTGACACTGCAGCTGGGTACCTGGGCTGGCAGGCACCCAAGGTGGGGGCGTGGCTACCACTCTTCCTCCTGGGACAGACTGGGGTTTCATATGGAACCCCAGAAATAGCAGCTGGCCACTCATAGGCCAACCTGCTCAGGCCCCAAGAAGGAAGTGAGAGGCAGGGGGCCCACAGGTCCTTCCTGGCCATGGTGTTTCTGCTATGAGGGTCACAGACCTGGCCCAGCACCCCTGGGGCCTCTGTGACCGCGGATCAAGGCCCAGCCAGGGTCCTTTGTCCCACATTGTTCTGTGATCTGGATTTATTGATAAGATCAGACCCTAGAAAGAAACCCCAGGATGGTCCTGGTTGGTGTGGGGCCCCTGGGTGACCTTCAGGACAGACTCCCTTGGGAGGTGAATTCTCTTGGAGATCAGACACTCACCCTTCTCACCTCTCAGGCTAAGCTGGATTTGGGGGGGATCACAGTGTATGAAGATAGCTCCCCAGCACTCCCCTGAGACACTAGAGAGCTGCTACACTGGCCACAGGGATGTTCAGGTGGATAGAAGCAAAGATTTTCATTACAGGGGTGTCTGCTGGCTGGGGCTGCAGTTCCCAGTCCTAGTGTACATTCACTATGCCAGTCTCAGCACCAGGACGATGAGCACTCTCCTCGGGGAGCATCATGCAGTTCAAAGAGATGAGCTAGACCCATGGCGTCTCAAACATACAAGAAGCAGGCATGGTGGTGCATGCCTATAATCCCAGCACTCAGGAGGCTGAAACTAGATTATAGGTTTGAGGCCAGCCTGGGCTATATAAAGAAAACTTGCCAAAACAAAAACAAGAAAGAAGGCAGGTAAGTATGGGTGATGTGAATTAAATGGTAGAGCATCTGTCTAGAAAGTGCAAAGTCCTGAGTTCAATTCCCAGGACTGACAAAAAAGAGAAAAGAATAAAAAAAGACAAGACATGTTCCACTGACTCCAAATAGCACAACATATCCATAGTTAGCACTTATTGAAGTATAAAAATTAGAAACAAAGCAAGCAACTTCTATCACTGAAAGAAATGCTGGACTTGAATTTTATCTTCAATGCCTCAGAAAAGAGAAAGATGGAGCTAGGGATGTGGCTCAGTGGTAACGAATTGCCTAGCGTAAACAAGGCCCTGTTCTCCATCCCTGGTCTGTGTCTGTCTGTCTGTCTGTCTGTCTGTCTGTCTGTCTGTCTGTCTCTGTCTCTCTGTCTGTCTGTCTGTCTGTCTGTCTGTCTGTCTCTCTCTCTCTCTCACACACACACACACAAAGTGCTTTTTAATAAACTATTTAAAAAAAAGAAACTTGGGAAGCAAAGATGGAGAGAATCACGGTTTGAGACCAGCAAGCCATATAAGTTATCAAGACCCTCATCTCAACCAGTAGCTAGGTATATGCAGCGCATTCATTATCATCCCAGCTATTGGGAGGCTGAGCTCAAGATGATCATAGTTTGAAACCAGCCTTGCAAAAAAGTTAATGAGAACCTCATCTGAACAGAAAAAGTATAAATTGGGTGGTCAGGCTTACTCTCAACAAAAAGTGAGACTTTATTTCAAAAAGTAACTAGAGGGAAAAAAAAGGCTGGGGTGAGGCCTAATGAGTGAGCACAAAGTCCTAAGTTCAAACCCTAGTGCTATACATAAAAAAGAAATAAGGCTGGGAATTAGTGGTAGAGTGCTTGTCTAGCCTGCATGAAGCCCTGTATTCCATTCCTCAGTACCACATAAACAGAAAAGCCAGAAGGGCTAGGAAGGTGGCTCAGTGGTAGAGTGCTTGGCTTGCTATGTATGTGGCCCTGGGTTCGATTCCTCAGTACCACATAAGCTGAAAAAGCTGGAAGTAGTGCTTTGGCTCAAGTGGTAGAGTGCTAGCCTTGAGCTGAAGAGCTGAGGGACAGTGCCCAGGCCTCATGACTGACAAAAGAAAAAGCCATAAGTGGCACTGTGGCTCAAGTGGTAGAGTGCTAGCCTTGAGCAAAAAGAAGCTCAGGGACAGTGCCCAGGCTCTGAGTTCAAGCCCCAGGACTGGCAAAATAAATAAAGGAAAGGAAAAGAAAAAGAAATAGCTGGGTACTGGAGGCTCATGCCTGTAATCCTAACTACTCAGGAAGTTGAGATTGTGGTTCAAAATCACCCCCAGGCAGGAAATTCTGTGGGACTCTTACTTTCAATAAACTACAAAAAAATATCCAGAGGTGGAGCTGTGGCTCAAGTGGTAGAGTGCCAGCCTTGAGCACAAAGGGGCTCAGGGACAGAGTCCAGGCCCTGAGTTCAAGCCCCAAGACCAGAACAAAAGAAAGAAAGAAAAGAAGAAAGCAAGGAAAATAAATTTGATCAGTTATAAATAAGGCCCATTGGCAGCATGGTAAATTATTTCCACATTTTTCTGAATATGAAGTGTTTTTCTACATCGTTTTCAGTATAGTTTGCGGGGCCTCATTCTCTGCTAGGATGGAGACTTGAGCAGGAAAACTCCTGTCTCTTGCTTGGCAAGTGAGAGGGGTTCCAGGAGAGAGGAAGGAGAGAGAGACAGGGAAGGAGGCCCAAGCTTGTGAGCTGCCATTGCTGTCATGTGGCTGTCACTGATTTGGTGGCTAAAGGACACATCTATTTGCTCTCATGGTTCTGCAGGTCCTAGAGTCAAAGCAGACATCTCTGGGGTAATAGGGTATCATCTACAGGGCCATAGCCCCAATCCTTTTTGCTTTAGGGCTTGTGTGTGTGTGTGTGTGTGTGTGTGTGTGTGTGTGTGTGTGCAGGTATTTGGTCTGGCTATGTCAATGTCAAGCTGACCTTGAATTCCTGGGCTCTAGTGATCCTCTTGCCTCAGCCTTCTGAGTGGCTAAGACTACAAGTAGTGCCATAATGTCCAGTTCCAAGCACTTATTTCTAGAGCCAGCTCTTTTATTGCCTTCCTTGCTTCTTTCCTGGCTCCTTTGTCCCAGCAGTCATGGGTCAGAGCCTTCCAAGAGGACTTTGTCTGCCTCCCTGACACAAGGATCCCTGAGATCAAGCCCTACAACCAACACACACACATACACACACACACACACACACACACACACACACAAGGAAAGAAAAGGAGTTTGGACGGAAACACAAGGAGGAAGAATGTGGAGGCCTAGATGGGAATGGCACATGCTGAGGAACACCAGTGTGGCCAGCGGTGAGCAGCAGCTCAGGAAGATACCATGGAAGCCAGCCACCCTGCCAACCCCTTGACCTTAGACACTGGACTCCAGAATCGTCAGAGAACAAACGTCTGTTGCTTTAGGGGTCTGTTTGCTTGTTTTTACTTTTTCTGATGTTGAGGATAGAAGGCCAGCCTGGCACATAGTGGGCAAATGCAGCTCTTGTGCTGCACCCCCTGGCCTGGATTCTGTTGTGTTTACACCCCTGCTGGTGGTGCTTCCCTAGAAGCCACGGGAGACCAGGGTAGCTGGGAGGAGGGACCTGGTCATAAATGGCCTCTGGTCCTCGTGGTCAGGTCAGGTGTGCTGCTCCCCCCTGGGGTAGGGGTGGGGAGGCAGGGGTGGGAGATGCTAACTTCACCAGCAGATGGCGCTCCTGGCTTAGCTCTGGGTCTTCCTCCCACCTGGGCATGGTCAGCTGGAAAGAGGGAGGGTAGATGGGGGCCAAGCCCTAGGCTGGACACCCAGTGAGTGGGTAGGAGTGCTGGGTGCAACTGGCTTCTGTTTTTTCCTGGCAAGGCTGTGGGCATGACAGCGCCGTCTCTGCACATCAAGTTCTCCCTGTACCAGGAATGGAATCAATTCCCTTTTCTTTTCAGATGCAGGCTGAAGAGTCCCTATGGGGAGGTGTGGGCCAGTATTCAGGAAGGCGCTTTACCTGGGACAGAGGCTCTGAACCAGGGTCAGGAAATTGGCGGGGGGGGGGCAGTAATGGACTCCACTGACTCTTGTCACAAGATCCCTAATCACCACCTAGAATGTGCTGGGTGGCCTAAACAGGGCTGGCACACCCAAACAGACCCACCTGGCTGGACTCTGTGGCCGCTGAGGTGAGGGCAGCCTGAGCCTCCTGTGGCCACGGTGAGCCAGTCCCCCATGATCTACAGAGCCAAGGGGGGGGGAAGGAATGCCCCCAGGCTGCCTGGCAAACACAGAGTAGAGCACTCTCTCCCCCCCTCCCCCACACATACCAAAGAATCACTGGCTGTGGACTGTCAACTCCCAGGGCTCCAAAAACGATGCCTGGAAGAGAGGAAAGTCCCAGAAAGAGGGGAGAGCAAGGGGTTTGGGGAGGATAGGCGGAAAGTTCAGTGTCTGATAGTGAGCTCAGATTGAGGGATGAGACCCTCCCCCTCCCCACATCCATTCTCCTCACCGGTTCCTCAGCAGTGCAGTCCTGCTTCTGCTGGAGCCTGGGCTTTTCCTGTTGTAAATGGGTCTCTACCTGCCTCTGACCATGGTTAGTCACCTGCTTGGACAACTCTTGAGAGAGGTTGCAGAGGAACCTCTCCAGCTATAGGTTTGTTGGTTTGCTTTTGTCGGTCATGGGGCTTAAACTCAGGGCCTGAGTGTTGTCCCTGAATTCTTGTGCTCAAAGCTAGCGCTCTACCACTTTGAGCCACAGCGTCACTTCTGGTTTTCTGGGGGTTCATTGGAGATAAGAGTCTCGCGGACTTTGCTGCCCAGGGCTGGCTTTGAACTGTGAACCTCAGATGGATCTCAGCCTCCTGAATAGCTAGGATTACAGGCGTGAGCCACCAGCACCTGGCTGATTTTTTTTTTTTTTTTTTGTTGGTCGTGGGGCTTGAACTCTGGGCCTGGGCGCTGTCCCTCACCTCTTCAACAAAAGGCGAGTGCTCTACCACTTTGAGCCACAGTGTCACTTCTGGTTTTCTGGTGGTTTATTGGAGAAAGGAGTCTCACCGTCTCTCCTGCCCAGGCTGGCTTTGAACCTCAGATCTCAGCCTCCTGAGTAGCTAGGATTACAAGGCGTGAGCCACCAGCACCTGGCTGATTTTTTTTTTTAAGATAAAAATAAAACAAGCTGCTTTCACTTGGAAGCCTTCACTCAGCTAAAACAAATTGCACATGTGTGGTGCCCAGCTCTGTGTGTGTCCATCTGCAGGGTCCTGCCCCTTTACCTTGACCCATTTCTCCACGGGCTTCACTGTGGCCATCTCCTTTGCAGGCCACCAGCTCCACACTCCCTGACTGCTGCCTGCAGCTCCCTCCTTATTCTCAGGCAGCTGCAGTAATGTGGGCGTCCTTGCGGCAGGACCAGCCCACTCCCTGGCAACTGCATCGTGAGCGATGCTTGCAAATGTGAGTTCTAAACCCAGAGCCCACAGAATCATCACATGCACAGCCCAAGAGGCTCGAAGTGGCAAAGGCTGGGTTTCCAAGCGGGACCACCTACGCCCGCCTGTCGCTCTTCTCTTCCTCAAGTTCCACATTCAAAGGCTTCCCCCACCCTCAAAAAAAAAAAAAAAAGACAAAGATTTCTTTCACCTTGAATCACGCGCACGTCATCTTTATGTAACTGTTCCTGTGTGACATATTTAAGGCTCCAGGGTAGCCTGCAGCCTGTGGTGGGGGCGGGAGATGTTGGTGTGTTGACAGAGAGAAGGGAAGAGTCACCAAGCCTGATCTGGGTGGAGAATGCAGCCCAGGGAGGGCTGAGGGACAGTGACTGCTGAAGGGTCACATGGCAGTGGTGTGTATGTGTGTGTATGTGTGTGTGTGTGTGTGTGTTTCCTCTTCCACTCTGGCAGGATCCTCAATATTTCCCAGATGACAGCACTGAGCCAGTACAGAGACATTGGTTTAAGTGGCCTGAAGAGCAGTAAGGGCCCTGTACCTGGAGGTATGCAAGAAACGACTAACCAGAATCTCTTTCTCCCTCCCTCTCTCCCTCCCTCCCTCTCTCCCTCCCTCCCTCTCTCCCTCCCTCCCTCTCTTTCTCCTTCTCTCTCTCTCTGTCTCTCTCTCTGTCTCTCTCTCTCTCGACTTGAACTCAGAGCCTGGTCACTGCTCTACCACTTGTGAATCACAATGCCACTTCTGATTTTCTGGTAGTTAATGGGAGATAAGAGTCTCACAACCCTTCTGTCCAGGCTGGCTTTGAACTGTGATCCTAAGATCTCAGCCTCCTGAGTAGCTAGGATTACAGGCATTTGCCACTAGTGCCTGGCCTGGGAGACTTATTTCTTATGATTCCAGGATGTGGGTGTTTCCAAGGTCAAGGCCCCACCAGTGATGACCTTCTCCGCATCAGAGCGTGGCAAGAGCAAGAAATTGGCAGAACTCATCTCTTCAGAAACCCACTCCCAGATGGCTGCCTCCTCCCTCAAATAACTGCTTTCCTTTCCTGAGGACGGAGCTTCCCGAAGGCCCTGCCTCCTTATCCCATTGCCATGGAGACAGTTTTCACATTTGAACTCTGGGGGGACATGGTAAGAACAGAGTGTGGTGAGCAAGGTGCTGGCCAGGCCTCCTGGGCTGCAGGCAAGCAGCAATGGCTGTGGCTGTTTCTGAAGGCTCTGGGCCAGACATCACAGCATGGTGTCCACCACCATGTCTTCCAGTGATGCATTTCTGTAGTGTTCTGGAAGGATAGAGATTCTGGAGCTGGTACTGGCATTTGAACTCAGGGCCTAGGCACAGTCCCTGAACTTTGTATGCTCAAGGCTAGTGCTCTGCCACTTGAGCCACAGCTCCATTTCTGGCTTTTTGGTGATTAATTGGAGGTAAGAGTCTTATGGATTTTTCTACTCTGGCTGGCTTTGGATCTTGATCCTCAGATCTCAGTCTCCTGATATAGCTAGGATTAGAGGCATGAACCATTGGCTCCAGTGTTCATCTCTTTTTTTTTGGGGGGGGTCCAGTTGTGGGGCCTGAACTCTGGGCCTGGGTGCTGTCCCTCAGCTCTTCAGCTCAAGGCTAGCACTCTACCACTTGAGCTACAGCACCACTTCCGGCTTTTTTCTTTTTTCTTATGTGGTGCTGAGGAATCGAACCCAGGGCCTTGAGCATGCAAGGCAAGCGCTCTACCACTGAGCCAACTTCCCAGCCCCAGTGTTCATCTCTTAATGGGGACTCCAGATAACATTATTGCACTGAGGATAAAGTATCAACCATCAACCATTAATTTTCAAACTATAGCAATACACTATACTTGCTACTCTACAGCTTGTTTGTTTTCATTCAAAAGCCACTTCTAGCTGGGTCCTGGTAGTTCCTGCCTGTAATCCTAGCTAACTCTGGAGGCTGAGATCTGAGAAAAGCAGTAGCCAGGGGGGGAGGGGCGGGGCTGGGAAGGTGGCTCAGTGGTAGAGTGCTTGCCTTGCATGCATGAGGCCCCCTGGGTTCGATTCCCCAGCACCACATAAGCAAAAAAGAAAAAAGCCGGAAGTGGCTCAAGTAGTAGAGTGCTAGCCTTGAGCTGAAGAGCTGAGGGACAGCGCCCAGGCCCAGAGTTCAGGCCCCACGACCGGACCCAAAAACAAAAACAAAACAAACAAACAAACAAAATAAGTAGCCCAGGCAGGGAAGCCCAATGAGACTTTTACCTCCAAGAAACCACCAAAAAGCCAGAAGTGGAACTGTAGCTGTACTTGAGATCACTAACTTTGCCCATAAAAAGCTCAGGGATAGCACCCAGGTCTTGAGTTCAAATACTAGTATAGCACATACACATATCTCCACTCCCCAAAAGATTTTTAAATATAGGTATTTCTTTTTCAAACATGAAGTTTACATACCACAGACAGAAGACTCCATGACTTCATTCCTAGTGAATAGGAAGTCTAGAATACAGTAGGTGCTCAGTATTTGCTCAACCGGATCAAACATTTACATCATTCCATCAACACTTCAGTGGAGTTCGCTGCAGTCCTGTTCCTTGTATTTCTAACTCCAGCTTGTGTGTGTTTCAAACCGACACTTTTGTTCAAGGCAATTGATTGGTCCCACATGAACAAGAGTACCTAGCACTTAGTAGGTGCTTGGCAAAGTTTCCTGACTGAGTGCTCATAGTGAGTGTTCCATATTTGTGTGCAGAGCCAAGATTGCAGAGCAGTGGGAATAGCCAGAGCAGGCTCACATCCCCTCCCCCTTCCCCCCCCCCCGCCCCTGGAGCTGGTCATGCATGCTGGGACTCTGCCAAGGGAAACAGGACTGGAAAGCTAGAACTAGGCTGGCTCCAGTGCTGGGGTCCCTTCCTGCTTCCTGCAGGTTGGGGGCTTCTGAGCCCACAGAGGGCAGGGAGGGAAATAGCTACTCCAGGCCATCCAGGCCACTGGCATGGGCATCCCGAGAACCCCACTGCAGTGAGCCAGGAATAACAGGGAGGCGGCCAAGGCCAGGCCCTGGGGACGCCGGCCCAGGGCAGAGTGTTTCTCTGTGGCTATCTGGGCAGGACACTGATTGGGAAGGACACTGATTGGGCAGGACAGGGTTTGGTGACAAACTTCCGGCAGTCAGGGCTCCAACTGAGGGGGTCTTGCTGAATCCTGCGTGTATGTGTGTGTGTGTGTGTGTGTGTGTGTGTGTGTGTGTGTGTGTGTGTGTGTACTGGGATTTGAACTCAGGACCTTGCACTGTCACTTGGCTCTTTTTGTTCAAGGCAGGGGTTCTATCACTTGAGCCACCACTACACTTCCAGTTTTTTTGTTTGTTTATTTAGGGTTGGGCACGGTGGCTCATGTCTGTAATCCTAGCTACTCAGGAGGCTGAGATCTGAGATTGTGGTTCAAAGCCAGCCTGGGCACAAAAATCTGTGAAACTCTTATCTCCAATGAACCACCAGAAAACCAGAAATGGCGCTGTAGCTCAAGTGGTAGAGCGCTAGCCTTGAGCTGAAGAGCTGAGGGACAGCGCTCAAGCCCTATGACCAAAAAAATAAAAAAGAGTCTCGAGGACTTTCCAGCTGCCTGGGCTGGCATTGTACCTCCATCTTCAGATCTCGGCCTCCTGAGTAGCTTGTACTGAGGTGTGAACCACTGGCCTAGGGTTAAATTTGGTTTTAGTTAGTTGATGTTAAGGATAAGAAACATGCTGTTTGCATCTTGTTGCCATGCAAAATATCCTTTGCATTTTAGCATGTTTAATTAATATGAAATTATTACTACTTATTCAGCATTAAAAATACAATAAATAGTCGGGTGCTGGTGGCTCATGCCTGTAATCCTAGCTACTCAACAGGCTGCGATCTGAAGATTGCAGTTCAAAGCCAGCCCAGGCGGGAAAGTCCATGAGCCTCTTATCTCCAATAAACCACCAGGAAAACTGGAAGTAGTGCTGTGGCTCAAGTGGTAGAGTGCTAGCTGAAGAGCTGAGGGACAGTGTCCAGGCCCAGAGTTCAATCCCCATGACCGACTTAAAAAATATATATATATACCTAATAGGGCTGAGGAGGAGGAGGAGGAAGAGGAAGAGGAGGAGGAGAAGAGGAGGAGGAGGGGGAAGAAGAAGGAGAAGAAGAAACACAAGAGTTAGCTGGGTATGGTGATGTCTGCCTGTAATTCCAGTGTCTCTAAAGGTGGAGATCAAGAGGATTGCATTTTGAGGCCAGGCTAGGGCAAAAAGTTAGTGAGACCCTATCTCAAAGAAAACCAGGCATGGTGGTATGCACCTGTCATCCAAGCTATGCAGGAAGCACAGGTAGGAAAATCAAGATCCTAGGCTGGCTCTGGGGCAAAAGTCCTTATCTGAAAAATAACTAAAGCAGAATGACTAGGGGTAGGGATCCAGTGGTAGAGCACCTGCCTAGCAAGCATGAGGCCTTGAGTTCAAATGTTAGTACTGCATATACATGAAATGTGTTGGGGACCTGTGTTGTCTGTCAGGAGTGGGCAGGGGAGCCCTTGAGCCCTCCAGGACTGATGGGTAGGAGGCATGAAGTCAACTATGGGGAGGGAGGACACATGGCAGCCTGTGTGCAGCTCTAAGAACGCCACCAATATTATCTTCCAGCACAGATCACCCATTGTGGCATCTTTGGCTGGTCAGGCAGAACCATTCAAGTGTGGCAGGAGCTCCTGGAGCAGTATGGGTTGTCAGGTGTCTACATTTCTGTGGTGGCTTCTTTAATGAAAGGTCATCTGGGCGGGCACCTCTGTGGTAGCCTGTGAGATGGAATGAATTGGCATCTTGCTGGGGACGCAGGAGACAGATGGTGCCCAAGTCAGAGACCTGAGATGCTAGTACTTAAAAGGGAGAGAGACCTGAAAGCCAGGAGGTGCTGCTGGATCCCACCTGTCATTCTAGCTACTCAGGAGGCTGAGATCATGGTTTGAAGCTAACCCCAACAGAAAAGCTGGTGA